CCCCCCCCCCCCCGCACCGATGTTGTAAAGCTCGTTTTGGATGTTCACTGTCACCTTAGATAAGTAATTTCTAATCCCTAGATCTTGATATGGAGTTGTTGAAAGTCAGGTATAACAGGGAAAATTCTGATGGATGTTGGTATTATAGAGCATAGACTTAAAACATTCCACATATGCTGTGATTGCATGCATTGCTTTTATTTCAGAAAAAATTGACTTGCCAATATATTTAGTTATAAAAATGTTCATTGCATTTTTTGTAATACAGAGAAGTTGAAAACAACCTAAATGTCCAGCAATAGACAGTTAAAAAGTATGACTAATCGATGAAATAAGAGATATGTGTACACTGAAGATAACATTACAAAAAAATTATAGCATTAAAGCTTTCCAAATATATTAAGTGAAAAATGCAAGTTACAAATAATATGCATAATACAACCTCATTTAAGTCTTCAAACACATACACACACACACACACACACACACACACTGTTAGTGTTGATGCAACTCTTACCTATGGCTGATTATGAGTGATTGTGTTTTAATATCTGATGAGAATTTTTCTGTAAAGAACATGAATTTTCTTTGTAATATGTTTTTATTTTTTTAAGAAACTGCTCAGTTAAAATCAGTGAACTCCAAGTGTGCCTGTTCCAGATCACCTAGGGGAATCTTGGTAACGCCATTTGCTTGGCTTTAGGTCCTTGTTTGCAAAGTCTTGACTTGAAATAATTCCAGTGTGAGTCGGGTTTGGGAATCAGAAAATTAGCTCAGTGCTTGCCATCCTTTATTGAACATATAAACTCAAGTAGCTTTTGTTAAAATATAAATTATGCTTCCCAAAATCTAAGGTGGAGCCTGATTCTCAGTTCTGAACATGCAACTTGGTGATGAGAACATTGCTGGTCCCTGGACTGACTTTGAGTAACAGAGAAATAACTGGGATGTTCAGCCCAGATATCCCAACAGTAGCTTTATCTCTATGCAAGTCTATTCAATGTTACTATCCCTCTTAGCCTGACTTATGCCTCTTTTAGTTGTGGAAGCAGAAATATGGGAAGCCAAGTAGCTGTGCTCAAAATGAGGGGGCAGAGAAAGTGGAAGGTCTTGTGTAATATTGGACAGACAGTCTCCCATTCTTGGTCAATATCCAATTCTTTGTCAATATCAACTCAAAGAACTAGAGGAAGTTGAGTAGTGCTTTAGTTTAACTGGGTACTAGAACTCTCCCATCCAGGGACAGCTCAATATTCCAGTGTCTTCTACCGATTCCCACATCAGGTCCCCTCTGCCTGAGTTCTGGCCAGAAAGAGATGGAATGAGTAGGAATGAGAAGCTGCATTCTGGTCCATCAGAGACCCTCTTTGCACTGTGTCACACACTCCATCCATAATGATTTACCTTCCCTATTGGCCCCCAAATGACTTTTCACTAGAGTTTGATCTTTATTCATCTTTCTTTCCCTGTCACTTATTCCCAGATGTATGTAGCCTCTTTCAGCATACTCCAATCATTCTGTCTTTGATTAAATACTACCAAGAAATTGCCCTGAGCTCCCTCCATGTTCCTCTGCACATCAAATCTGTTCACTCCTCTCTTCATTCTCTACATTTTATCTATTGTGGAGTGTCTCTCCTCTCC